TTAACTTAGATTCTTCAAAAGGAGGTTGAATAAGAAACGTTTTTATATATTAGACAGCTGCATGAATTTAGTGGTTGGCATTTATGAGACAGTCGTTTGCGCTCCACACTGTTTGGCCATTCCATGCTTAGCAAGCAAGATTAATGAATGAGTGTGCAGAGAATGGTGAGTACTGCTTTCTTGGTATAACAAGTAATTTATAGCAAAAAACCAAAAACGACTTCAACTCTCATAAAAAAATATATATATATATATCTCATGATCCAATGATCGGATCTAAACCAGGTTGGTACGGGACCACCTCTGAGACACTAACTTTTCGATGCAAAAAGAATTATCGAAATCGGTTGACGTGGTCCAAAGTTATGCGGGTAACATACACGAAAAAAATAATAAAAAATATTCCGACGAAATGATATCCTCCTTCTTTTTCGGAAGTCGGCTAAAAATAAAAAAAAACACATGTTGTACAAAGAGACAGTTGTACTGCCGCCAATGAGAGTGCGAATATCTAACGAAACACAGTGAGTATTCGAACGTCTACTATTTTCGCAAAGCAAAATATTTGACTCTCGCTCCCTTCCCTTTCGCTCCGAAAAAATTACGCGCGAAAGGATGTAGTAAAATTTTATTTTGACAGACAAGAACAAAAACATAAAATCATGAGATCATGAGATCATTACAATGTAAGCCAACAAAACAAAACAACTTATCACAACTCAAGCACAGAGAATTTTTCACAATGCACGCACCTTTTTTATCCTTTATAAAAATACAGTTTATACCAGATACATCAAAACACATAAATATAAAATTTCTAAACTTTGTGCTAAACTCGGGAAAATTCAATAAATTTGCATACAAAATCGCAACTTTCTAATGAGACTCAAAAAATTTAAAAAAATGAAGTTTTGCAGCCCATTAAATTTTAGTTGATTTTTGGTATTGGTTTTACTGAGAGTTTCTTCCATACAAACTATGTTCGACAATTCTTTTTATATTGAAGACACTGCCAGCAAAAAAATAAATAAAAAATTTTAAAAATCAACGAAATTTTCTGGCAACTTCAGACTTGCACTTTATTAATTGGCTCAAAAGCTACATTTTCAAAATTTTTCTAAAGGATCTGATCGGACCCGACTCGGGAGTAAATGACTCGAAAAATTGGAGTAAAAATTAAATTTTCGGAGCAGATTAACATTCTAAATAGTATAAGAAAAAATTAGTATCGTTCCTAAACTCTTCTGAATAAAACCTGTAAAACCGTCAAAAAGGAAAATAGCTCTTAGAGAAAGAGAGAGAAGCGAAAAAGTACGGGAACGCTTCTCTGGTAAAAACTGGTAAAACTGTCAAAAACACCGTGGACGCCATTTTTTGTTTACATGTCAGTTTTTTGTCATTTGGCGAACTGCTAAATTATACGCAAATACAGCAAATTATAAGCAAACGTCAGTAGAAATTATTTGGGTTAAGTTTTGCTATTTCTGGCAAAGAGATTTCCGTTTTTACTCTCCCATTTTTCGCCTACTTTGCTAGTAGTTTTTTCATAAACTGATTTATAATGTTTAAAAAAAAAACGTAAATTATCGGAGGGCGTATAAATTGCCGACCTTTTGTTAATAAGAGTTCTTGCAAACATTAAGCTTTCAACTAATTCGACATTAAGCCTGTTCCTGTATTTATTTTTAATGAGATTCATCTCCGAAAATTTTCTTTCGGCAGCAGCACTACTGTGTGGTAAAATAGCTAATGTCAGCTTATACTCTGCCAAATTGCTAAACATACACACATACAGAAAACATTTTTCTGGTCCTTAATCAATCCCTTGCTTTGAAAAATAAAAAAAGTGATTCCGCAAAAAAAGGGTTAAAGAGTAAAAGAGATAAATTCTGTCACAACTTTCTATACAAAATCTTGGTGCCACAGAAGTTATTGGACAAACATTTTAAAGTTAATTATTTTGTAATATATTCCTAATGTGAATGGAAAAAAGTAAAAAAAATCTGAGCAAATTTCGGGCCAAGTGGAGTAGGGAGTAGATTTTAAATTTAAAAAAGAAATCGGAGTAAATCTACCCGATCGGAGCAAAATCCGGACGCTGTTTACAATTAAGAAAGCGTGCTAAATTTAAAAAAATGCGCATATGAAAGAGCACCAACCCAACTCGTAATTCATTTAAGTATAACAAATTTAGTATAGAAATATTCAATTCAAATACGCTCATATTAAAATGAAGTACTTTTCACTTACCGATTGTTTTTCATAATTAAGTTAAAAAAATATTTAAATTCCATGCTGCCTGTAATGGGATTTGACCCTGACCCTCTGGAAATTAACAAATTGTGGCAAGCATCTTGACGCACAGACATGTATGTAAATGTGTATTTAAATGTTGAGTTTGAATCAACACCACGCGTGCGTGGTATGAAAATATTATTTAAAAATGCGAACATTTTAAAACGATAATCAAATAAAAAATATTCATTTTTACTGTACGTTATTTCCCTCAGTGAATTCATAAAATTTTCCGAATATTACAATGCGTTTTTTCTCTTAGTGTAGTGATTTTTTTGTAGAATCAAAACGAAAACCAGGACACTTAAACGAAACCCGGGATATTTTAAGGTTGGACCGGGACAGCGGGACAAATAGTCTAAAACCGGGACATGTCCGGGAAAACCGGGACGTCTGGCAGCCCTAGTGTGTACGAAATTGGCGAACACTAAAAAAGGTTTATGTACATAAAAATGGGCAAGTGGAAAAAATATGAAACATGCTGTCTAGAAGTCCTATCAACTTGAAAGTTACGTAAAGCCCAAACATACGTCTAAGAGGCGTAGGTGACTTAAAAGACAACCTGTGAGCTGAAATATACTTAGTTCTGGCCAATTTTTTTTTTTAAAGAATATTGTAGTTATGATATAAACTAATAATAAAACAAAATTCCGTATACGCCTTTTTGACGTAGATTGGACTTTTAGGGTTAACCGACTTCACAAAAAGGAGCAGGTTATCAATTCGTCGGAATAGCTGTTTTTTTTTATGTATGTTAACGCATATCTTTGGACCACATTAACCGATTTTTACATTTCTTTTTTTTTTTGTAAGGAAAGGTGTTACCTCACAGGTGGTCCCATATTAGTTTAGTTTAAATCTGATCATGAAGAAATTAACGATAATGTTAAATTTTTATATGAGAATTGAAGTTGGTTGCTGCTGCTTTCCAACTTGTACCCAATAGTTTTGGTTTACTAAAGGGAAGGTATCCTCCTTACAGCGCTCTTACACGATATGTATTTGCACATGTAAATGCTGCATGCTGCTCTAATACACGTGTAGGTTAGGTTAGAAATTAAACATTAATTTCACTTAATTTTATTAATTTTGCTGATTTACATTTTTTTATTTTAATTTTTAATTCTTTTAATGCACGAAATTGGTATGGTTACTAAAATATGATACTTGTAAATACTTCTGACTCAAAGGTTTTAAAATATCTTGAAAACTCCGAATCAAATACTGTTTTTGGGCTTGTAGTTGGCGCATTTCTATTTGTATATATTCCCAAATTTAGTTTTTCTTTTAGGGATATAATCTGTGGCTCTGCTTTGTCTGTCGCTAGGTTTACGTTAAGATCATGAATACATATAACATACCATCTTTTATTTGCAAAATGGGAAGCAAAATTCATATGTTTGCCATTTTCTCTTACTCTCGCCTTCAATCTTGTATTCGCTCTGATCTAGTACTCAATGAACTTACAGGTTTTTACACGAACTTGCAAGAAGTTACAGGAATAAATGATCCCGTATTCCAAAATCATGTAAATGATTTTTGGAGAATTGTTTACTTTTTGCTGTTACTAACTTTTTACTCTCACTTCAGAAAGTGATAAGCTGTATGACAATTTTACAATTTTAACATGTATACATATCTACATATATTCATGTATGGTCATCAGTTATCAACGGCCCCAGTTAAAATGACAGTATTTTTTTTAAATTTCGCCTTGCTTTTGTATCACTACACTACTAAACCTATGCCTAAAACCATGCTTCGAATATCAAAACCGTTTGCAACAAATACGCTCATCCATATGTATGTATAATAGGGTGCCCATTGAAAATGCTTTTTTTTGGAAATTTCAAGACCCTTCATATGGGATGCACAATGTGTATACCAAATTTGGTCGCGATCGGTCAAGTACTTAGTTTTCGAGATACGCATATATCATATAAGTGGACGGATCTGAAATTCCGGTACATACACACTTAGAAATTCAATTCGCCTAAATTCGACAATTTTTATGCGATTGCAATTTTAGATAGTACTCCATATTATGAAATTGTAGAAATTATCCTCTTCGCAGATCATATTCGATCTTTGAAATCGGATCAAAAATAGTATTCCAAAACTCATAAATCTACAAAATCCTATTTTTTGACGTAAATCGACAGGTCGCGAACTCTATATGACCTTTAAAAAATCTATAAAAATAGGCATTCATATTTCTCATAAAAACTAATAAAATTAGGGGGTAGGGTCTTGACATTTCCAAAAAAAAGCCTTTTCGATGGGCACCCTAATGTATATACAAACTTAAGTATGTATACATATAGGTACATATGTAGCCGTATGCATGCGCGGAGTTTGCATAATTGGAAGTAATAATCATTTGTACCGCATTTCCTCTTACTCTGCATATGCCTAAATGCATGCAACCATTTGCAACAGTAAGTATACACATGGTGCTTCTAATGAAATTAAAAATCTTCTGCTGCAATATACATTCTCCGAAATTTTCTGCTGGGCTATGCGTTACAGCTCCGCAAATTTTACCCCTACAGAAACAAATATGTATACACATCAAAACAACCTTTGCTCCGAAGCCCTGGATTCAAATATACATACATTTTAGTTTTTTTCTACCGAAATAGTCATCGCTTATGACCAAAGATATAAACAAATTTTGGAACAGAACAATCAATACCAGCACTTACTAGATACTCATATTCAACGACATTTAGGTCTTCCAAAAGATGCACAGCACATTTGAATACAACATTCTCCGCCTTTTTTTTTAACATATTAAATATATTTACCACGTTCCGTCGTGTATCTTGGATGGCTTTGGTAGAGAATACAATGCATAATTAACTGAACAACTGTGTGTTTATATTTATTTACTTTTCGATTTTCTCTTTTTTAATATTGATTATTAACCCTTATACGTCCGTACACGAAAATGATTCAAACCCACATAAGCCAAACGGTTATACAATTAATAACCTCTTAATGGTAGAGTCATGTACTACAAATTCGGTACCTATCAAAAATTTTTCGCCTTATCTAATGTCTGCACTACTGCACTTTTTCTTCAGTTAAATATTAAATTTCTTTATACCTACATAGAACATGTTTGGAAAAAGTTATTAAAGAAACGAATCAACACATAGAAATTTCTTTGTGTGACCCAAAACCGGGACAATTTCTGTCTTGAGAGAATCATGCTGCCATTTAATTTTTTAATAAAATCCTTACAAATATGCCACACAAATATAACTTTGTGTATAAATGTAACTCATCTGGCAATCGAAAAACAAACTTTCGAGTAAACAGAAAATAAAATAAAAACAATCACAATTTGATTCGCGTAAATACATTTATTTTAATTGAAATTTTGTATCAATTTTGGTGTAAAAAAACAAATTAACATTTAAAATTGTACATGTACAAATAAACACAAGTGCTGATAATCAAACAATAGGTGCAGGCTGAGTAATCGCGTCTAAGTTTCTGGGTAAGTCAAGTCAAGTGTAAGTCTTGCATAACCCAGGTTTGACTCTTTGAAATATTACGTTCCACTTTTGTTTATTATGTATGTGGAATGGAATTCGGACGTACTCTAGTAAAAAACTGGGCGATGTCGACTTTCGCCTTTTTTGATTTTTAATAATTTTGTGAACACATAAAGACTCATATACATATGTTTAATGTAGGCAGTACCTGCGGATAGGTACATTAGAAACCAAGAACTGCCTGTATTAAACATATTTTCCTAATAATATGATTGGCGTTTTTTCAGCTCGCTTATGCGATTTACAATGAAAAAATTATGATATTTTTTTTTTGAAAAATTCCTGCTTTTGATGAAAAATATATCTTGTTGAATTATGCGGTAAAAATATGTACCAATATTTCGGTTTGTTAAGCAATGCTTTTTTATACCCGAGCGCACTTGTGCACAAGGGTATTATAACTTTGTTCACATAACGGTTGTTTGTAACAGGCAAAACGAATCGAGATAGATATAGACAAATGTATACATAAATGATCAGAATGAAAAGAGAAATCGATTAAGCGGTGACTGTCTGTCCGTCCGTCCGTCCGTCCGTCCGTCCGTCCGTCCGTCCGTCCGTCTGTGCACACGATAACTCGAGTAAAAATTAAGATATCTTAACGAAACTTGGTACGTGCACTTCTTTCGGGCGTAGGACGGATGGTATTGAAAATGGGCAAAATCGGACAATAACCACGCCTACCTCCCATATAACGGTAATTTTCAGAAATACAAAAACTGCGATATTTTAGTAACTACTGAAGATAATTCACTCAAAATTGATATTTATAATAAATTTTAGACGAAAAATAAGAATATTAAAATTTTTTTGAAAATGGGCGTAGCCACGCCCACTTATGGTTACATGTGTATATCTTGGTAACCGCTGCATCAATTTATTCCAAACTTGGCACAGTTGTTGGCCCTGGTACAGCATACCAAATGGCCGAAAATTTTTAAAATCGGACAATAACCACGCCCACATCCCATATAACGGTAATTTCGAGAAATACGAAATCCTCGATAAATCAGTAAATATTAAAGCTAATTTATTCAAAATGATGGTTGCAACAATTCTTTGCCAGGAAATACGTTTATGATAAAATTTTGGAAAATGGGCGTGGCACCGCCCACTTATGATCACGTATATGTATCTCGCTAACCGTTCTAGCAATTTGTACCAAACTCGGTATGGTTATTGTGCTTGCCACATAAAAGCAAACCATTGAAAATTTTTGAAATCGGACTAAAATTATGGCCGCTTTTCATATAACGGTAAATTTCAGAAATGCTTGAAATTTCAATATTTCGAAATTTAAGGACGCTAGTTTACTTAAAATTTATACACCCCGGCTTATCATGTAGCGGTAGCTTTCGGAAAGGTGGAAAACTTATATTTAATACTTGCGCCGGGTATTTAATGTTCGGCTCCGCCCGAACTTAGACTTTCTTACTTGTTTACTATTCTTTTGGACCTTATCCTGTTTTGTAAATATTGGGAGGCTATTTCGGATAACACTGTTGTAGTTTTTCAACTTTTTTCCGGAAGACGGTTGATAGATAATGTCTAGATAATTTGGGAGGAGAAGCTCTGCCAAACACTAACATATGTGTAAGCGCCAATCTATTATTATTACTAATTTGGGTATGCTGAATTCAATGGTGTTAACAGTTTTGCCGAATTGGCTCTTGACTAGGGTGGCCAGATATTATAGGAACATAATCAGTACAGTTGGGCTCAAAAATCAGTACAGAGCCATACAAATCAGCTCATTTTTAAGCGTATTTTTTATTATTAACAATATAACAACCAAATAACAGCGCATTAATTTGAAAAAATAACTAGTAGACTTTTAAACACGTATAGTATTATCAATAAAAAAATTCATTACTTTAAAACAAATCAATGGTATTACGTATGCATGTACAGCTGTGCTCAGGAAAATAGTAGTTAAATATATTTGCAGGTTTGAAAAATTTTTTCTTTCCTTACTTAATTAAATTTTTTTATAAAAATATAGTTAATTCTATAACAAACGACATGTGAGTTGAAGTCGCAAACTTTCTACAAAATTTATAAGAATTGAGAAAATAAAAAAAAATTTTAGCCCATTCAGTTTCAGTAGAAGACGAGCTCGAGTCAGAATCTGTTTGCATATTTTAAGCTACAAATTTAAAACATATTTAGTTGGTGTGGTTATTAAATACAACATTCACATTAAAATGTTGACTAAAAGGTATATTACCGAATTATCGCTAAACGAATTTGCGAGTACGAATGAAATTTAATAGTGTTAAATGTGTATGTGCAAGTAAAACTACACGTGGTCGAACATCAAAAATCAAAGTAAAGCTACATATATCATTTCCAAGAGTCGGTAGTTTGCACCTTTTCAAAATTTTTAGAGCTTACATATACAAGCACTTACAGCCGATTTCTCAGTGGATGTTTAATTAAAATCGAAAGATTATCTCTTATTGTCATCTTCCCAGTGTACTTAATATATGATTAACTCACCACAACCTTTCATAAGATCTATTAATGGCGAAACGAGCTTTTCATGTACCTCCTGTAAAACCTGCAAATCGTGAAGTTGGGTTGGGTTGAATCCAAACAGTTTGTTATTTTGCGAAATCCTTGGAAACGAAACAATTGCAATTGACACCTTTTTAATAATGGTTTAAATTTAATTAATGCTTTCAATCTGCTCACACGTATGAGTTGTCAAAAACCACTGTTTTGAACATGTAAACCTCAATTAAATGTCAATTACACCAATTAACAAAAGTATTAAATGTAAAAATCAGTACAAAATCAGTACAAACTCAAAAAATCAGTAGATATTGCGTACTGATTTCGGGCTCTTAAAAATCAGTACAATAGAAAAAAATCAGCACACGTACTGATTAAATCAGCGCATCTGGCCACCCTACTCTTGACTAGAGATGGGTAACTCAGCGCTGAGCGGAGTTATTGAGCTAACTCCCAGCAGTGTGTCGCACGCTCAGACTCACTTCTAAAAAAAAGCATGACTCAGGAACTCAATAAATATTCGCCACATAGTCGGTACTCACAGTAAAGAATGAAAATAAAGACTAGAAAATTGCGAAAAATTTAATAGTTGTGAAAATTTACAATTCGTTCAAGTTATTTCGCGGACCAGCTCTACAGCGCATACCAACTAATTTCCTCTTAACAGCTCTACAGTGCAAACCAACTCCACAGCGCTCATCAGCTCTACAGCACATACCAACAGCGTTGCCGAATTAACGATTTCGTCGTCATTTTGACTTTTTGTTTGAGCTCAATGGCGTTTTGGCGATATTTTCACCCGTAGTGATGATCTTTTATTTTAGTTTTTCCACCTAATTACATATGTATGTATGTATGTATGAAAAAAATTTTAAAGGGAAAACGTAATCCAAAATACAACCATGGATTTATCTAGTTTTATTCTACAACCGTGCTTTTAGTTATATTAAATTTGTTCTAGAATTTTAACCAAATCGTTAATTTGCACTGTTGACAATGATTTGGAAGTGACAGAAAAATAGCAAAGCGAATTTCTTCAGTCAAGATTATCTATCAGTTAATAAATGTTAATGTAACATGATTTATTTTGGAACGAATTTCCGTCATCCCTTGTCAAGTTTGGTTTGCAGACAAACCGGTTTCGTCATTGTGCCATCTTCAGTGTCATTTTTCGTTCCGTCTGGTTCGAGGTTTTGTCCTTAATTTATGTTCATTTATCTTAGGTAATGTGATTTTCGTCGATGATTAATTACACTAAGTAACAAAAAAAAAATGTCTCAGTCCTTGGGATGTGATTGTTATTTCCTAGTCTGTTATGCCTTAAAAGTATGGAAACCACCCAATATTCCTCGGAAACTTTGCTGTCGTGACGCTTCCTCTGACATGTGACTTTAACGAGTGAGCTTCTTGGGGAATTCCTCAGACTCGAAGATTTTCTTTATTTGTGGTCCAACGAAGATACCGGCTGTAACTTTCGCCTCAGAGAGCTTAGGGAACAAGTCTTGTAGGTACTTGAACGCTGAAGAATTTTTGTCGAGAGCTTTGACGAATTGCTTTATAAGACCCATGCCATGCGCTACCATGGTCACAAAAGCAAAGTTATCTTGCGACAATAGCTGTTTTCTATACTTTTGGGACCTAACTGACTAGGAAATAACAATTACAACCCAGGGACAAAAACCTTGTTACATAGTGTAATTGGTTATATCATAATCATCGTGGTTTAAAATGGGAAGATGGTGATTCGACTTTAATGGCTGTTATTGAATATATCCATTCATTAATGAAAAGAAAAAATTATATATTCTATGCTAAAGGATTGGAGAAAATCAGATGGATTCAACATTTATTCGGATACGATATTTTTTATATAATTTATATGATTTAA